AAATAATATGCTGGACCACTCTAACAACCACCATGTCAGACTACACAGTTAAGCCATTGAAATCCACAAACATGTAGACAGTTTCAACAGAAAGGAGGAAACTATGAAAATGAGCAAAATCTGGCTACCAGTATTAAAAAAACACTCTAACATCAGGATAGTAAATAAAGAGGAACACTCAAAAAATGAGAGAATTCCGGACAAGAAACAATCAAGTTCAGCAAATTGCCTCCCAACAAAGGATTCCACCCAGGCAGCAATCAGCCAGGATTTGAAGCTGCAAGGCTATTCTATGCTAATCAGGATCATCTATTGAAACATTCACACTTTCCTCAAACAGACAAGAGTTCTTCCTCCCACCCTGGACATTCCACAGATATATAAACCCCACTTGCCTTGTTTCCAACAAACCACACAACCTGTGGGGATGCCTGCCATAGAAGTGGGTGAAATGTCAGGAGAGGAATGCTTTTCCGAGCTGCTATGCAGCTTGGAAAACTCACAGCAACCCATTGATTCCAGCCATGAAAGCCTTTGACAACACGGCTTAGATCTTCACAGTGAAACCTTGCTTGTGCACCTTCCAAGCTCGAGGCTGTAAGAAACCTTTAAATTATTTTATGATGTGTACTTCTTTGGTTGCCTTTATTTGTAGGATTCTAAAGCAGAGATTGTGATCTAATCTGGTGTCATGTGAAAATTAGTCAAACGTACTTTCCCCCATGACATTTTTTTTTGCTGAGATGGGCAGTATGTTGAGCAACCCTGGCTTGCAAAAAGGAAGTGACCTTTCTGAATGTAGTTAAGGGGACCCAAAGGCATTTTAGTGGAGCAGGTTTCGTTTCTGAAATGGAGCAAACTTACTGCCAAGTTTCATTTAAGGGTAGACAGTAGGAAATCCAAGGTTTCGGTTTGGTCCCAAAGGACTTTGCATCTGGCCCGCATCAAAGGAAATCATCTTGTGTGCTTCACCACCTCTCCCCAACATAAGACATTCAGATTAAAAACTCTCCCTTCCTCCAGTTGTGAATGCCAGCAGACTTTTCTAGAGCTCGCCCTTCATACATCCTTGGACTTGGTCTACGTATGCAAAAAAATATGGTGGTGGAATCCCAAGATAATGATGTGGATCCTAGTGCTTCTGAATAGTAGTGGTGTGGGACGAGGGGAAGGACTATTCAGTGTTTCGAATTGTTCCTTTAAGACCCCTTTTTAAAAAGTATTACAAGACAAACCTAATGGAGTATGGGATGAACTAGAAATTCTTTTCTCACATGTATTTGCAGTCCCATGCAATGTGCATCTTTAGAACAGCAAGACATTTTCCATAATATACTCTTACCACCTCATTCTTTTGTTTGTGTCACTCAGACACAAAGATCCTTAATCTTGCTATTTCCTTAGAGTTTGCGAGAAATAGAAATAGCTCCCCAACATGCTATATTGGTCTCTCATTATTTGCTGACACCAATTTGTTGACATTATTTGCTGACACCATTATTTGCTGACACCAATTCTTGGCTCAAGCATGTGTGACTATCGAGTGTCCCTGCTCTCCAACCCCGCAAAGAAAAATAGGCTTTGTCCATATTTCACAGGGGTAATGGCACTTTTAGGCGATCCCTCGTTGGCCGAGTAGGATAGTCTTCCAGGAACAGTATTCTGGTCGGTCCGTAGGTGACTGTGGAGCCCTATTCTTAATCTGCATCTTCTCCCGCAGTGAGGACATTGGTTTCCAGGTGGAAGGTGGTCTCGGTCGAGGTTGGCTTGACGCGCCTTCCTCTTGGCACGTTTCTCTCTTTCACCCTCCATTCGTGCCTCTTTAAATTCTGCCGCACTGCTGGTCACAGCTGACCTCCAACTGGAACGCTCAAGGGCCAGGGCTTCCCAGTTCTCAGTGTCTATGCCAGAGTTTTAAGGTTGGCTTTGAGCCCATCTTTAAATCTCTTTTCCTGCCCACCAACATCCCGTTCTCCGTTCTTGAGTTCAGAGTAGAGCAACTGCTTTGGAAGACAGTGGTCGGGCATCCGGACAACGTGGCCGGTCCAGTGGAGTTTATGGTGGAGGACCATCGCTTCAATGCTGGTGGTCTTTGCTTCTTCCAGCATGCTGACGTTTGTCCGCCTGTCTTCCCAAGAGATTTGCAGGATTTTCCGGAGGCAGCACTGATGGAATCATTCCAGGAGTTGCATGTGACGTCTGTAGACAGTCCACATTTTCCAGGCGTATAGCACGGTTGGGAGAACTATATGGCACTATCACCCTTGTATCTTAAGAACTCCTACAGTATGTGACAACTCATACTTGCATACTTATTAAGAAGGCTAGGTCCCCGTTTCAGGACTTCTTTTCATTCCTTTAATTGGATTGGTGTGGTCAGCTTATGAGTGAAACAAAATAATCAAATGTTTCCAATTCAATATATTTAGCAAAGACCTAAACAGAGAATAATTTACAACTAGTCATATTTCAAGTGAAATGAACAAAGTAAGAATTAGCTAACTGAACTTACCAGGATCCTAAGAACAATTTATTCGAGGCACTTTTCAGTGGAAGGACAACCCTGGACTTCTGCCTTACTTTCAGTAGAAGACAATTTTGGTGTCTTAGTTTTGAGGCCTGTTCCTATGGTTATATGGCACTCTGATTCAGAAAATTACATTGAATGGATTGTGTCAGCTCTAGAGTCTTACATACGGTTTTCATGGTTTACTATGAGCAAGCAGATGGCAACTGTTCATATGTTCTGTACTTCAAAAACTGATAGGCCAAAATTGGTGCCATTTTTGGAATCAGCAGGTCAACTATACCCAGAAACAGGACTAACATTTGAGTGTAACTGTTTGAGCATTGGATTAGGTCACAGGGAGATCCGGATACAAATCCTTATTTGGTTGTGGAAACCCACCTATGACCTTGCCAAGAAACTCCCATTATAGCTTTGCATTAAGATCACCGTAGGACTTGAGGGCCCACAACAATAGCACCCAGAAGTGATGAACAGGAATAGAAATCTTCAGTATCCTTTCCACATAGTTTGGAGGAAGAGACATTAGAATCTCTTGGAAATCTTTTCCTTTTTCATCTTATGAATGCTCTTCTTGAAACTTGTTTAGTGTAGAGTTTTCCTTGATTTGTTAAGGGAAAGAGGAACTTCAACAAAGAGGAACATGCTGAGATATATGAGATTGCTATGGTGGCTTCTCCCTTGGACACAATCAGGAGAGTGGCCCCAAAGTGATCTGGTATTCTACTCTTCCAATTCAATGCTGGGGCTAGAGAAGGAATGAGACCCTTTCACCCTCCAACAAGGGAGCCCCCGGTGGCGCAGTGGGTTAAACCCCTGTGCCAGCAGGACTGAAGACTGACAGGTCGCAGGTTCGAATCTGGGGAGAGGTGGATGAGCTCCCTCTATCAGCTCCAGCTCCTCGTGCGGGGACATGAGAGAAGCCTCCCACAGGGATGATAAAACATCAAAATCATCCGGGCATCCCCTGGGCAACGTCCTTGCAGACGGCCAATTCTCTCACACCAGAAGCGACTTGCATTTTCTCAGGTCGCTCCTGACACGACAAAACAAAACAAAACCCTCCAACAATTCAGGATGTCAACTCCCAACAGTCTTCACTAACATATCCAATGGTAAGAGATGCCACTTTGTGTTCATTCAGGCCAATTGCTTGTTTCTACTGTAAAGTAGACCATGTGTTGTTGTAATCCTATAGAATAGGACAGATGAAAAAAGATGGGTCCTAAATAAAGCCATCTCAGAAGAGCCAGCTGAATGACAATGCTGAAGAAGAGTTTCTTTTTAAAGAATTAAATGAAGAGGCGTAATTCATAAATGTGTATTCTGCCTCATGCCAAAGGTATAGTGGAAGTGACAAAAACAGAAAATTAATAACAAAATAAATGGTCAGTAAACCAGTTTCTATCTCTCCCTGACATAACTCCTGCCCCGTACCTAAATCCACAAGCTTGATCACATAATATTTTTGTGATTTAGGAGGGAATTCCATAATTCCCTATGATGAGAACATTGGGAATATACATTTTGAGTAGAATTTTCCACAGCACTGCAGGTGAAATTAATCAAAGCTCATAGTTGCTTGAGTACAATGGTTTTATTTTCAATAATCTAGTTTACAGTTTGTCTTGCCGTATTTTGTGGCATCAATAGAAGAAAAAATATGTACAACTGACCATGTTCTTATAGCATCATCCAATTAACATTCTTCTTTCCAGGTCCATGTAGTACTACATCATTCTATAGCCATGAGTCTTAATTAAAAAGTAGATACAAAGCCAATCATCTATGAAAAAGGGAAATACCTCTTAATGAAGCTGCATTTTCCTTCATATTGACCAGCTATACCATATTCCCACATGAGTAGAATAACATGATGGGATTTCTTTCTAGTATTGGAAGGATTTGGCCATGAGTCCAGGGGCATGTCTTTCTTTTAAAAGTAAACACTACCTATACTTTCCTTGATAGGATAGAACATGGTCCATGTATCTCTGTGCACCCAATAAACTTACCCTAGTATGTTATATGTAGCTATATACAGTATTTTTCCCCACTGGTAATAACCCACATAGGCACGTCATACTGTTGGTCACTTCTGCAGTGTAACAAAACATTGGCACATTTGACATGCAGAGGCAATGGATTAGATATTCTCTAAAGCAGAGGCAATGGATTAGATATTCTCTATATGTCGGCAAAATCTATAGGGGGTTGCTCTCCAATATGTGCAGAATGGAGTTGCCTAGGTTGACTGACCACCTTATTCTCCATTCTCCAACATGGATTACATTTAGATTTTGTGAATTTTGAGAGGATTGTGTTGGAGATGATGTTTCAAAATTAAATAGGAGTGACAGAGGAAAATGATCACTCTCAACCCCATTATTAATTGCAAATTTTTGGATATCAGGTAGCAGGTACACAGCTATATGTACAACTGTAATCTAGAGTAATCACTTCTGTGCTACTCTTTTAAGTCGGACTAATAGGAGTGAGGAAAATTTGTCTGGAAGTATCATTTTAGAGGACAGAAGTATCAGTAAACTTGTCATGCTTGGTCTGGCTTCTGCCCTGGGAGCATGCAGTGGAACATGTAGCTTCCTCAATGAAAACCCCTTCAAAAATGCCCTGCACTGTCTGGAAAGCTTTTTCTCGAAAATTCTTCCCCACAAACACATAAAGAAGTGGGTTGGTGCAGCTGTTGGCATATGCCAATGCTGTGGAGATGTGGTCCCACAAAGCCAGTTCTTCAAAAAACTCTGTGCCTGGAGTAGCCAAAAGGTACAGAACCCCAATAATATGGTAAGGAACCCAACAGAGAAAAAAAGTAGCTACTACAAGCAGGATCACCAGTAGAACCTTTCCACGGGTCTTTGTAAACTGGTTTTTGAGCATCTTGCGGGCAAGAAGGACATAGCAAGTTGTCATGATTCCAAAAGGGAGGAGGAAACCCAAGACACTTCTGATTATGGTAATGGACACAAGGACACTTGGCGGTTGGCTCTCAGAGAGGTAGTCATCATAATAATATTCCATTGAGTTGTTTATGTCAGAGTAGTTTTCAGAAAAACTATCAGAGGAGACATCTGAATGAAGAATATTGATTGTGGCAGTATTCACCTGAGGTTGGGAAAAATTAAATATGGCTGTACGACGGGTCCTGTCTGTCACCAGTGTATCTTGATGGATGCCAGTTGTGTCTAGTATCCTAGAATATGGAGCCTTTGAGTTATTTTCAGCCATGTTAAGAACTTGGTCCTTTGAATATATGTCCAGAGTTCCATCAGTAAAATAGTCCTGAGAGATATCAGTAGGAGGTTGAATAGAAAACAGATCATGGTTGAAAACTAGATCATCCTGTTCTGTTTCCTGCACATGCTCTTCACCATACCAGTTATAGACACATCGACTCTTGCCAAGTTCATCTGTAACAGTCTCGCGGTAGAAGAAGGCAGGAGAACACATCACAAAGGCTAGGAGCCAGATGCTGCCACATATCCCTGATGCAAATCGTACTGTTCTGTTATTCTGACACCAAACAGGCTTCATTACCAGCAGACACCTGTCAATGCTGATGACTGTGAGGAGAAAAACACTGGCAAACATGTTAAAAAGAATGGCTGTTGGGATGATCTTGCAGAACAACCACCCAAAAGGCCAGTGGTAATGGAGGGCCAGGTGGACAATGGTGAAAGGAAGTGAAAGGCAGCACAGAAAGTCAGCCACTGCAAGGTGTAGAAACCAAATGGTGTTCACTGTTCGTTGCATTTTCAGGCTGACCACCCAGATTACCAAGCCATTTCCAGGAATGCCCAGCAGGAAGGTGAGGGAGAAGATAACCAGGGAGCTGATAGATGTGGGAGTATGATGTAATGGAAAGGTTTCATTAGGTCCATGTAAACTATCATTGGCCAGGAGCAGAGTCATTGTCTTAAACAAGAAAGAAAGAAAAGAAAAGAATGCAAGGTTAGATAATAACAATAACAGTAGTAATTTACTTAGAATACAATGATATTTCAGTGGCACACAAGCCAGTTGAGGTCCATAGCTACAGTAGTTGTTTCCATAGGGCCCAAAACATGTAATTGTTGCATAAAAGAACTTCCTTGTCAATTATGTCCTTTGCTGATTACTGAAAGCATGAAGCTCCAGGCAACAAAAGCATCTCTTGACTAATTCTGATATATACTGTTGACATGACTAAGTTTATTACGCAGTAAGGTTTTTTTTCCTGGAATATTTTAATCCCAGCCTTTAAAGGGAAAGGTTTCCATTTCTTAGTGGTCCTCCACAATTGGCAAAAATCCCAAAGAAAGTGTTTCTGGAAGGCATGTGAACCCGATTCCCTGCTGTTTGTGTGTGCATAGAGCCAACTTTCTGATGAATCTGAGAATTCAAATACTGTTTCCAGTGCCTCCTCTGGACTGGGCTACTCCCTAAAGTTGCCAAGTCCAGACAAAGGTTTATCACTATGCCTATCATGTGGATCTTTGTGAATCAAGACAGACAAAAAAAAAAACCAAAACCAAAATGTGTCTGTATTTGTTCCCCTGGAGTTTAATAAAAACATTGAGGGCGTTCCTGTCATTCTCAATCACGGATTGGCTTTTTAAAAGAAAATAGAAAAAAGATTTGAGTCCCTCCCAGGGGTCGGAAAAGCGGTATATAAATACTGTAAATAAACAAATAAATAAGATTTGGAGGACTACAAGGGAGAAGAAGAAATAAGGATGTATTAATATCTTTGAGTGACAGGAGACCACCTTTTTATTTCATGAAACTAGTGGACGTGGGTATTGTCCTGTTTGTCAGTACTTGGGACATTCTTGCCTCCTAATTAATCTTGACTTAATTAGAAGTCAAGATACAAAAAACAGCTGTTGATACAAAAGGATGAGGAAGGAAGTTTCCTCCACTGAGTATCTGCAGTATCCTCTGAAGATAAATCAGACATATGGCTCTCAGAATTACAAGCTTTCAGCACAGACAAATTTGAAGTGTGCATGTGCATATGCTTACCCATCATCCTTCCCCTAAATTCTTAAGGTTTTCCACTGATTATCCTTTTCAGCCCAAGAAGTGATCCCAGGTATATAGGTATGTCAAATAGGGATAAAAATCAGACGTGTACTAATAACAAATCAGCATTTGGAAGGTTTGCTAAATAGGCTGATTTCGCTTTTTATGAAGTATGGCCGAAGCATCAATTGCAGTGCAGAGTCCACAGTAAACACAATAGATTTGTGTACATGTTTAATACAGCCAAAAGTTCAGAAAATGTTTACTGTTGCCAATTTTTTGTGACCCCCAACAGTTTAATAAGTGCCCTAAATGAGGTTCAATATACCCAAGTCTGCAAAACTTGGAAAGGGTATCTGGCTTTTGAGTGGTGTGGATCATAGTTTATATATGCCTGCCTTAGATCTTGAAGCCCATAGGGCAACATTACTTAACCATTTTCTGTTACCACAGACTACCAAGACTTAAGATTTTAGAAATCCTGAAGTGCATCAAATATTTAATAAAAGTTGCTCATCAAGGGTCTTCAATTAATTAAGTAGACAGCTGGTGCTGCATATCACATACAACCCTTGTTGTATCAGGCTTAATAACTGAAACTTGTATTCTGAGTTCTGACTATGTTTTCCATGCTTCTTTTTAAGATAAATGAGAGTAGAGAATGATTTTTCACAAAAGTATGTAATTACAAAACATATCTTTACTTTCATAGCCCTCTTTAATAGTTCCAGAAAATCTGCTTGTAAGCACATTCAAAAATTTGGAAGGGACTGTTCCTTGAACTGCAGTTTCTGGGAACCATCCATGGATATTTTCATGAGATTAGCTGTAAATCTATCTGTTTTAGGCATCTTAACTGTAAAAGCTCGTAACATTTTTTTCCAAGCCTTTGTGCACTTCCCGTGAGGACATTGGGTTGAGAGCTGCCTGCCATAGATGCAGGCAAAACATCAGGAGAGAATGTGTTGTTGTAGGTTTTTCTGGGCTATATGGCCATGTTCTAGAGGCATTCTCTCCTGACGTTTCGCCTGCATCTATGGCAAGCATCCTCAGAGGTAGTGAGGTCACAACCTCTGAGGATGCTTGCCATAGATGCAGGCGAAACGTCAGGAGAATGCCTCTAGACCATGGCCATATAGCCCGAAAAAACCAACAACAACCCAGTGATTCCGGCCATGAAAGCCTTCGACAAAACCTTAGGAATTCTTTTGAGTTAATGTGAGTTCACACTTTCTTCCTTTCCACTTTTATTACTGCATAGGATTAAAAGGCATGGGGGAGCCAGAGAGTTTTGTTAGTCCAGCTCAAGGCTTTTTGACCCTTAAAGTAGGAAATCCAAGTAACAACTCCCTCTGTTGTCTCTATTTGCACGCACACAGTGATTTAAAAAGGCAGGCAGGCATGTTGGTTCACTGCTTTTTAATTGTCCCCACCCCTGATGCTTAAGGAAGAGATCTCTTAGGATAAGAATCCCTCTCCTCTGCCTGTATTCTCATCTCTTATGCCTCTCCCATGCCTGTATTCTCAGCAAGTCTGGCTGGTCCTGTGACATTCTGTAGCATGTACAATCATTCAACCGGTGATGTTCATTACCAGTATGTTTGGTAGGTTATCATTATTTTCCCCCAACCAAATACGTCAATGGCGCTCTTGCTATTGAGAATTGATCATTCACCATGAATGCTAAAGAAGCCCAATTCAGAAGAAGTGGATGTGTCCACTATCCGCACCAAGGTTTTCTCTGGTGATTATTTTCCCGAAGACGCTTACGGTCTGACTGGGGCCTTTCTCTGGCAAACATCTCCTAATGGTTAATGTTATTCATGTGCCCTGTTCATTCTAGTTGTGCCTTGATTAGAAAGGCACTTTGAAAAGAAAAGCAAAAAGAGAAGAAAAAAATTCTTTCTATGATGGCTTGAACTTACGGTAGTTCCTCTTTCCTGTGTACATGCTGTGGTCCCCCTTGTGAAGGGGGGAAATGTGAGCAAAAAGCATTTTTGTCTCTTGTATATTTTTATGGCTTGTGTGATGTTCCAATCATAATTGATGTGTCAGCGATACAGCAGTGGCAATTTTGTGGTCAGTAATCCTAAGAGCCACCTCAAACGCAATGAAGTATTAAAGAAATGTACAGTTTGTCTGCTTCTGAGTCTTGAATGAACATTGTCTATCATAGTGTTTGCTTTTCTGCAACTATGAGAATTAAGATTGGAATCTTTAAAAAAAAATTACAGACCTGAAAACCTAATTATATGTGATTTTTTTGCAAATACATAGTTGTGTACCTGGTAAAAATGCAATATCTCAGAAACCTGGATTTATAAAATACCATCTTATGCAGTGGTAAGACATCATGAATAATATGATTTTGGAGAATTATGATCTTTGGGAAGGCATGACCTTGTTAGAAATCATAACCTTTTGGAAAAAGGATGTCATAACCTGTGCTGTCGCACGCTGGGCCTGTGCGCATGACTGTAGACAGGACATAAATTCCGTGTGCCCAACGGGATGCCGGGGCTGCCTCAGATTAAAGGCCCTTAGATTCCCCCAAACAAAGTTCTGTAGAGGCTTAAAGTAAGTCCAACAAAGTTCTTTATTGATGAAAACAAACAGGTACTTTAAAGGTTTCGTAACAATCTATAGGCTCTTTCAATCTTGTTCACTGGGAACAGGCATTATCTTCTTAACGGTAACTAACTAATGGGGAAAACCCTAACCTCCAATCTGGGACTGCAACAAACATTAAATGCAAAAGCAAACAGAAATGGAGCTCCTGGTACAACTGTACCAGCACATAACCCTTTGGGAAATGGCATTCACCACCATTTTGGGAAAATCAGGAATCTCCCTGAGAAGAGTTAAAAACTCCTTTGAGTAAACTTTGTCTTAGTGATAAATATCCAGTAGTATTCATGCAAGGCAATTAGGTTTCTCAGCTGTTAAACTGATATACCTAGATATCTCTTTGAACTGTTAGGGACAAAGATATGCCAGTGCACAAAAACATGTAACAGAGTTTCAGAAGTGTTCTTTCAGTTGCCCAAAATATCTACTCTCCCTTATAAAACATGTTGGTCTAAATCAAGGGTCCTCAAACTAAGGCCCAAGGGCTGTATACAGCCCTCCAAGGTCATTTACCCAGCCCTCACTCAGGGTCAACCTGAGTCTGAAACGACTTGAAAGCACACAACAACAACAACAATCTTATCTCATCAGCCAAAAGCAGGTCCACACTTCCCATTGAAATACTAATAAGTTTATATTAAAATTGTTCTTCGTTCTAATTATTGTATTGTTTTAAGTGTTTTTGCACTACAAATAAGATATGTGCAGTGTGGATAGGAATTCATGTTTTTTCAAATTATAATCTGGCCCTCCAACAATTTGAGGGACTGTGACTTGGCTCTCTGTTTAAAAAGATTGAGGACCCCTGGTCTAAATCATGCTCTCAAGAGACAAAAATAAGTAGACTTTTTTAAAAAAAACATAGTAGATTTACTCACAAACTTCATGTATTCAGCATATAGGTACATTGCTTATCAGTCCAGTTACAGATAGAGTTTGAAGTAGTTTCTCTGCACAGGCAACACAGGGCATCTTTCTTATAATCAACAGTCAAAAGCCCAAAGTATGTCTCTGTTCTAAGAGTCTAATAGAGTCTCAGTCTAGTCTGAAAGTCCAATGGAGTCTGAGTCCTGAACTATCCCAGATCTGATCACATGGTCTGCAGCCCCTCCCACAACTTAGAGTTAAGGAAAACTGCATACCAATACACACATATACAATACAGTAAGAAATCTGAATTATATACAAACAAATAACTAGTGGAGGTTTGAAGAAGGTCGCCATTTCTAGGATGCATGTGTTTTTTTAAAGAATGCCTATTAATCATTACAAAGACAACTAGTTTCCAGTAGTAAACAAAAATGAGTGGCAGTCTGCAACTATTAAGGGAGCAATGCGTAGCAAAATCACTGAAAGGAGTGAAAACATAAAGCTATAATTGAATTTTCTGTGTCTGGTCAGAAGCTGTACAGTTTAGGAAAAGAATATAAATTGACCATAAACCGGTAGGCAGAAAGGGCATAAACTGGCATGACCATATACTAACTTGCCTTAAATATAGTAATCTTGATAGACAGATTAGGTATTTCTATCTGTACACATTCAGGGTAAGAGAAGTGGGATTTGCCCTTCTTCCATGAAGTTTTAACATGAATTTCGAAAAGACATTATCTTAATTTCAGCTTTTAAAAAGGAAACCTTGGAAGAGTGCAGTTCAATTTTACTCAGCTATCTATAACAATGTCCGGTTGTCCACCAGTCTCTCTGCTTTCCTACATTTCCTTTGCTTCTATAAGAACTCTCAAAGGCAAGAGCCTGAATACAAGATTGGACAACTCAACATCCCCCAAATGATTTGCTTCATGATTTTTCTTCAACGACATTCTTGGACGACCTTCTCCTCTGACAAACATCTTCTCTATCTGGCATGCCCTCACCTTCTCCCACTCCAACCACTGCCATATGACAGTGATCATCCCTGGCATTTGTCATTATTAGTGGATGAAACCAAGTGATATTTGTAGCTATATAGGGAGCTGCATCATTCCTTGTCAAGTAGTCCATCCAAGCCAATAGTGGTGACTCCAAAAGTTTGTGCCTCTCGGGTAGATGGCCAAGTTGGTTAGAGGCTTGAGGTCCAACTTAAGACACATATCATACGTTCAGCATTATAAAAATCAAAGTTGGAAAAAAGTTTCATAATTCATAATTTTCATACTTTGTAGCTCCTTCTAAAGAACGCTTTCCACAGTGTGTCACACACCACACAAAAGCCACATATACAAAACTGTTTACAATGTATTCCTATACATCGACATATACTTTTTTAAAAATAGGGAAGGGAAAAGTATATGGTAATTGCTTCTTGCTATTCCTAGATGTCTCCTTCCTCCGCTTCTTAATAAATAGGAACAGGAATGAAGTTTGTTTCAACATACAGTTTTGACGTTTCGAAATATGGCTAAATATGATTCAGAATAAGGCTTTCTAAAAACTTATTCTTGACAAACTCCCAAAAAAATAAAAAAGCAAGAATGATTGACAACTTTCTCATACCCATTCTTTTGTTCCTTTCCCTTTTTAAATCCTGACTGTTACTTGTAAGTTTTGCATCACTCACTTACCAGTCCTCCACCACAAACCCTCTGAGATCCCACAAACATTTCCTTCTCTTCTCATGCCAACTGACTAGAGTTATATCTATACCTTTGCTTCCCTTGGCTGGCTATCCACAGTTGCTGCAGTCACAGTGTCTATCTTCTCACCTTGTTCTGTCCAACTGAGCCAAAGAAGGGAGGAGAAGAAGGGGAAGAGGCAGTTACAGCCAGGAAATAGCAGATTGAGCCTCTTACCACGTGTGCCATGCCTGGCCTAGTCTGAATTGGATACCCCCTCTGCAATGTTCTGGTGCTTTCATGTTTATTTTTAAATTTATTTTCAAAGGAAAACACATATAAAATTAGCCAATTTTCAAAAGAATTTAAAGAAGACACTTCCACATTTAAAAATGGAACTTAGTTGAGTGCCAGAGGAAATGCCATTAAGCAAAATATCCCAATTGCAGAAGTGTCCAGAATAGCAGTGCTAACAAAGTCTCAACTACATTTGCTTTAGTCAATCGATTGAGAATGATAATTTGGTATCATCACCTTGGAAAAATAGAAGATCTGAAACTAGCAGACTAACAGAGATAAATGCATCATTCTCTATTTAGGTTATAAAAATCAAATCCACGGGTATAGGATGGACGATACTTGGCTATCCAGTGCTATATATGAAAAAAGACTTTGGGATAATTGTTGATCAAAAGTTGAAAAACATTATAGGTCATCAATATAAATTACGTTAAAATACACTTCATACAATTCATACACATTACAGCAAAAACCAGTTCGTCCAAAAGAATTACAAATTCATCGCCATCCGCCAGAAAGGTCAGCAGTTATTGACTCAGTCATCATCCTGCGAACGCAGTATCCCAAAGCCATGTTTTTACCTATTTTCTAAACGTCAGGAGGGAAGAGGCAGATCTAATCTCCATCGGGAGGGAGTTCCAAAGCCGAGGGGCCACCACCGAAAAGGCCCTGTCCCTCGTCCCCACCAAACGTGATTGCGAAGGCGGTGGGACCGAGAGCAGGGCATTAGATTTGCCTCTTGTGTATAATGATTCACAACAAGCAGACCCTCTAGATAACCTTTGTAGGAGTAGATTTAGTAATTTCTAGAATGAGAGAGAGAGACCATGGAATATATGCATAAACCATTGTTTATTAATTTCACATTGTAGTGTAGTTGTCAACAACAGTCAGAAAGAGAGGGCGACTACAAATCAAGTTCTTTGCAGGGGACAAGGTAATCTTTTATAGATTCAGATGGTGAAAAGTAGTTACTTATTATCAAGGAAGTAGCCATCCAATTTGCCAATATGGCGCTACCCATGTTGCTCTAGAGTTCGTATTTGCAGATGTAGGCATTGCGATTCTTGCACTGGATATCATTCCACTCCTTAAAACCTACAAATTAAGAGATGAAACACATGTTATTTTCTTCTCTGTTATTGTTTTGGGAAAAAAACTCCCAAGATATTGTCAAACTGTCACCAGTTTCAGCCCCTAGGTCTAAAAGAACAGGAAAGCCACTTGATCTCATATTTGTTAAGTACTTCTATTAGTAGGTAAATTGGAGAAATGATTATAGAGTTCAGAATGTCACTGGAAGGTGACAAGGATGACCTGGTATAGAGAAGAAAATTACATACAACTGGACTTGAATGGAGATGATACTGTTGGGGGGGGGGAGGGGGTGTTTTAATGACTCCCATGAATAGGAGCCAGAGTCTGTTGCTTATAATTCAGAGCATTATAATGTTTCATATTATGGGGATGGAGTCAAAGGTTATTGAACATCTGGCCACCTCTTGTATGCCTGGGTTTACCTACCAGAAAATGGATGGACAGGGAGAAACCCAATTATTGGATTGCCCAAAGGGCTCAGGGTGTGTTCACGAGATAGTTAAATGTTGCTGCCTGACCTCAGCTGAACCATCATCAGCTTGATTCTCTCCTCCGCCCCCCACCAGATTATTTTTTTCCAGGTTTAACTTAATTTAAATAAGTCATAGGTAACATAAAGTGGCTCTCATGTAACCTAACCTTTGTTGTCTGATCCTGTTATTTCCATGGTTAATCATCAAACACTGGTGATCAAACACTGATGGAGCTGTCACTGATGGAGCTGTGCTGTCAGGACTGAAGTCCGACAGGTTGCAGGTTCGTATCCAGGGAGAGGCGGATGAGCTCCCTCTATCAGCTCCAGCTCCTCATACGGGGACATGAGAGAGCCTCCCACAAGGATGATAATAAAAACATCAAATCATCCTGGCGTCCCCTGGGCAACGTCCTTGCAGACGGCCAATTCTCTCACACCAGAAGCGACTTGCAGTTTCTCAAGTCGCTCCTGACACAACAAAAAAAATATCAAACACTGGTATGGTGATAAAAAGCTTGTAGAGTTCAAGGGTATGCCAGCAAATGGAAATCCATTTATTCCAAGAGATTTTTAAAACTGAAGGCTTTTAAGGAGAGAGCTCTTAAAAAAGTGTTGTACTGTTTTATGTCCTGAATGTTTTTTTTTTAATCATTGAGGATCCCTTATCTGGAATTCCGAAATCTGAAATACTCCAAGATAAGGACACCTTTGCTTTCTGATATACATAAACTTTGTTTTGTGTACAAAATTATTAAATATATGATGTATAAAATTACCATTGCTCTTCCCCAACATATGCCTCACAAGGAGGCTTCTCCACTCTGTCTAATCAGGGATCTCAACCTGGGGTCCCCAGATGTTTTTGGCCTTCAAGTCCCAGAAATCCTAACAGCTGGTAAACTGGCTGGGGTTTCTGGGAGTTGTAGGCCAAAAACATCTGGGGACCCCAGGTTGAGAACCACTGGAAGGGCTGACTCTGTATATCATGTAAGTGAACTGTGGCACACTGGCTTGTGTGACCTCCCCAAGCTGGACAAGTTGGCCATTGCTGGCTGGACTCTTGCTAGATCTGCAGCTGATAAAACATGGAAACTACATATACTTGATACTTTCTTGGCTTGTTTACCTGTTTTAAGTCGGAGTTCTACACAGTGTTCAGAGTTAAAGTAGTTGTCGGGCTGACCACTTTCCCATGCCTTGTAGTTGAAAACTGATTCGTCAGCCCACCTCCATTTCCTGATCTGTAAAAAGAAGATACATGATTGAGGAAGTGATGGGATACTTGCAATGATGTATTTACATAGCTCAGCTGTTCAGTGAGTTACCAAAGAGGAAGTCACATTTGCTGTAAAACTAGTCCAAAGATTTGCAGCATCTTAAAAGGTTATCACACACATTGCAGAATTATTTACTTCTTTATTTATTTGTGATATTTCTATCCTGTCTTTCTCGAACCCAAAGGTGACTCAACCAGTAGAGACAATTCCATGTCAAAATATAATTTCCTTGAATGCATGAAATATTGTCTGGTGGATAAGAACTTCCCAGCAGTGCAAACAAATGTGTGGGACCACCATCATAACATACATACATAGCAGCAGTGTAGAGTGTAGTATCCAATGTGTTTGGTTCGGCATGACTACCTACCACATAGTATCTTAAGAGTAAGTTCTGTTGAACTTAATAATGCTTGCTTCTAATGCTAAATTTAGAGTTAAGAAAGGCTCTGCAGCCATCAATATGCATCATCAATATGCATCAATAGGCAGGAGCCCCTGGTGGCACAGTGGGTTAAACCCTTACGTTGGCAGGAATGATGACTGACAGGTTGGAGGTTCGAATCAAGGGAGAGCATGGATGAGCTCCTCTGTCAGCTCCAGCTCCCCATGCGGGGACATGAGAGAAGCTTCCCACAAGGATGATAAAACATCAAAAACATTGGGGTGTCTCCTGGGCAACGTCCTTGCAGACGGCCAATTCTCACACCAGAAACAACTTGCAGTTTCTCAAGTCACTTCTGACACAAAAGGGGGGGGGGCAGGCTTTCAGGTAGAAATGGAAATCTTCTTGCAAAGAAATGTCACCACCAAATTGTTAGTGTGAAAGATGAATCCTGCCAAAGATGGGTAAAAGAGAAACATCCACCCTCCATGGATGACTCCAGTGTAGCTTCTCTAGAAAAGAAATTTTGACGCCTGGGAGCAGCCACTAAGAAGACCTGCATTCCTTAAGACAGGGGCCATCAAATGAAGGCCTGGGGGCCGGATACGGCCCTCCAAGGTGATTTACCTGGCCCTCGCTCAGGGTCAACCTAAGTCTGAAATGACTTGAAAGCACACAACAACAACAATCCTATTTCATCAGCCAAAAGCAGGCCCACACCCCATTGAAATACTAATAAGTTTATATTTGTTAAATTTCATTTTAATTATTGTATTGTTTTAAGTGTTGGGTTTTTTTTTTTTTTTGCACTACACATAAGATATGTGCAGTATGCATAGGAATTCATTTTTTTCAATTGATAATCCGGCCCTCCAACAGTTTGGGAGACTGTGACCTGGCCCTCTGTTTAAAAAGTTTGAGGACCCCTGCCTTAAGATGTGACCTGTGGGGACACTAGAATGAGGAGCAGGGATCTAATTCTGCCATCCCTCCTTTGCTGCACTGGGACTCCTATTGAAAACTGCAGAGAAAATCAATGTGGAACTCAATCTGTGAAATTACTAGAATTTTATCAATAAGGAATTTCTCACAATAATGAAAACTCAGAATGCTAGAAGAAAGAGGCTTACCTGACGAACAACATGGAGCCCAATCCAGACATTACTTGGTTCTGTTTGGTAAGTGGAGATGTGTTCGGCTACCAGAAGGGTCTCTGCCTTGGTGAGGACAGAGGCAAGATGGGCCCCACGGCCGTAGCTCTGGCATTCAATCTGAGAAAGTTATATATAAAAATCAAATAAACTACCAAAGGTCACACAGTACACATGCTTACTAGTTTTGGCTCAACTGGCAAAAACAAGAGCAGGAAAAGCATAACATGCCTGTGTGAGGAGTGGGACCCAGAACGGGCTCAGATCTAAATGGCACCCACCCACAAAGTGGCACCCGCCCACAGAAGAGTCAGTGTGGTGGATCAGAGGAACAACAGGAATTGAGTTATGAGGACACTAAGGAAAGGATTATTTCCCATACCAGGCCAAATGATTCTGTGGTTCTTATATGGCCTGTGAGCGGGATGTTCCCCACCCCTGCATTATTCCCTCCTGAGAAATCCATACCAAAATCCACACAAACATGGCCAGTAATACAGTGCAGTAGTCCTGCTGATCCAGCCTCGA